ATTTTCTCTGGGCTCCTTGGCCCCAGAGAAGGGCTCGTCCTTTCCGCCTCTTGGTAAAACCCTTGACTGCTCTGGTTAGTCTCAAGCAGTGGTTCTCCCCCTTCCTAATGCCTCGACCCTTTAATACAGTTCCTCATGTGGTGGGGACCCCCCCAACCAGAAAATTATTTTCGTTGCTACTTTATCACTGTCATTTTGCTACTGTTATGAATCAGGCGACCCCTGTGAAAGAGTCATTCGACCCCCAGAGGGGTCGTGACCCGCAGGTTGAGAACCGCTGGTCTAAATAGCCAGAATGGAAGTAAAAAACGCAGCAAAACAACACAACACAACAGAAATGTTAATTTTCTAAAATTCAGTTCTAATGGAGGTATTGGTCATTCCTATCATAATTCCAAATGACATTCCTTGTATGCCAGAGTCCAGACCATATTTTCGCATCTCCAAGAATTGGCAGGAAAAGAGAGAGCCTGTTACCTTTCCATAGGGGTGGCCATTTAACCCCTCAGAGATGGAAGTCACCATTTCCTTGGATGGAAGTGGCGGCTTCTGACTGACCTGCAATGAGATCCGAGTTTGTTTAATTTGGAGTAAAGTTTTATGAGTTAATCTCAAGTGAGGGAAAGCAGCAATAAACATAGAACATACTGGTCATTATGCTAAATATTTCTGCATTCTTTCTCATGCATGAAAGAAGACAAAATGCTCAAAAACTGGGGAAGTATGGTGCTCCAACGTTTGTGTGTGCGTGTGCGTGTATGATTTTGTTTTGACCCAGCCATCTGGTGTACAACATGCCCCAGGAGGGTGAAGGCAAACATTTACCAGGAGATTCACATAGTTTCTGCTCTGCATAAACATATTTGCAGAAGACGCTTACATGTTTTTAGAACGTGGAGATAAACATAGATCTTTCAATGCATTTATTAACACAGCCCGACCCTTGGCAGACCAAATAGTTATTTATTTTAGTGGCTTTATAAACTCAGGTGGGCCCAAATGCCACAGAGACACATGCAATCTGGAAGTGATCAGTGTCATGGCCGAGAACAACGTTACCTTTGCTCCTCAAGTTCAATAATGGGGGGGGGGGATTCAGGGATATTGCGGCGCGATTGTGTGCTGAAAAGTGGATTAGATCTCAATTAAATCACAACATAAATAATCCCTTAACTAAGAACGTTAAAGGTGAGCTGGAAAAGGTCTTAAAAACAAAGGGGGCAAGTGACCTGATTTATTAGGGGAGAGAGAAGCAGCTTGGTGTGTGTTCTGTGTACTCCGTGTTTAATGGAACAGACTCCTTGGGAAACTGCTGGGGTTTGGGGGAAGCTGAACCCCTATCCCCCTGAAGGAGGGCTGGAGTTTTTAAAGACAAGAAGGAAGGGTGTGGGGAGCCCATCAACCACCCGGTGAACCAATTAGCCATCCGGCCAAACAAATAAAATTACACCGAGTGAGCTCTGGAAGAAGGGCTATTGTTTTTGAAGGAGGCCTTGGCTAGCTGAAGGCCAATCAACAAGGGCATGTTTACACTTGGAGAAAGAAAAGGGAGATTTATTAGTAGGCACACACGGGGCTTCAGGGGAATGTTCTCAGTAACGGGGGCGCATGCTGTTCTCATTCCTGTGCCTCTGTATTGTCGAAAACCCGCTCTCAGATCCAAATATGGCCTTGGCTCTTTTGACAGGAGCTGCGGCTTGAACATTCTGCATTGCCATGCGCTGCAAAGTTCCGGTGGGATTTCTCTCGAAGAGCTCTCAGTACCTCCTGAAGCATCGACCATTTTTAGGTGCTAGCGGAGAGGGGTGGTACTACGAGGTAGTCTGTGTCAGTGGGCAAAAGATGCCATCTCTTGGACACCCAGTTTCTTCATGTGTAACAACGGGGGTGCTACTATTAAGATTCCCTTCAGCTATAAACTCCCATGACGCTCAATGTGCCGGGAAACTCCGATTCCGAGCAAACCAGCCTCAGAGTGACAGGGGCGTTGCCACAGGTCATGAAATAATTTGTTTGTCTGGTTGTTTTAATTCTAAAAAGAACCCGAGGCCTGTCTTTCTTCAGACAGCTGGACTCTGATGTTGCTAGGCAGATGGACTTCGGGAAAACAGTGCCTCGTGGAGTGGACAGTCCAAAAGTAACAACAACAACAACAAAACGTAAGTAAATCAGAAATGGAAGACTGAGTAGAAACCAGGGGCTTCCCAGGAGCATCTTTGTTTTGGGAATCTAGAGTTCTCACTTGTACGGCACAGAAACCCACCCCACCAGCAAGCCTGGCTCCCCTGCATAGACAGCAGACGTCCTCGCACGCTCTCAGAGGGATTGGCGGCCTGATGACCCGGGAGACTGTCACACTTCAACGTGAAGCTGGCTCTGGGTTGCCGTTTCACAGGTCCACATGCCCCAGGAGGAGCTCTGGAGGGAGGACAAAGACAATTGCTGATCGCTTTGATTCTCAGCGGGGAGAAATAAGTGTGCTAACCTTGAACTGTCTAGGATTACATATGTCGAGTTACCTGACTGGTCAGACGAATGAAGACAGTAGGGTTCTTTGAAGAGTCCTTATAAGACACCAGTCACAAGCCTTTGAATACTCACCTTCAGTTTAAAACAAACAGCAGAGACTTCAAAGTGCTGCTTTTAAAGTTTTCTTTTTATTGCAACCTGCAGTTCATGGTGACCCAGCACACACGCACATACCGATCGAAAGTAGGTGTCATGAGCTGACCCTTACCTGTACTCTGTGTATTGCTCTCTGACATTCTGCTGCTTTTACTAAAAAAAGCTGCATGCAGCACACTAAGTGGATTTGATGATGAAGTGCAATTTGAAAACAATCCTCTGGAGCAGTGGTTCTCAACCTTCCTAATATCATGACCCTTTAATCCAGTTCCTCGTGTTGTGGTGACCCTGAGTGTGTGGGTGTATCTGCATGTGGGTGGACCCTCCTGGAGACAGATAGGGGAGCGCTGTCTCAGTTCCTAAGCTAAGACCAACGGAAATATGGTCTCAGGTGACCTCTGTGACAGGGTCATTTGACCCCCAAAGGGGTAGAGACCCACAGGTTGAGAACCGCTGCTCTAGAGTACCTTCTCAGGTTGGCTGACTGTAATATGCAAAGACCAGGCATCTCTTCTTTTCTTACAGCATGGACTAGTGATTCTTGTTGGCTAAATCTTCCTAAACTCTCTTCATTTAGCATGGAAGAAGGTGGCCATGGTGGGAGGCTGGGGCACCCATGTCACTGAGACTTACAGGACTCCACCCATAACCTCTAGCGGCACAGCCCAGAAAGGCTTCCTCTTTGCCCCGGCGTTCTCAGCGTTGGCGGGGATTACTGAGAGGATCTGGTGACTCTTACCCAAAGGAAAGAACTGGTTGTGGTGAAAAGGCTGGGTCACAGAGCCCTGACTCCTGCCTTCAGTTGGGAGACTACATGGAAACAACCGTGGGAGCAGAAAAAGTGCCAATCCAGTGGTCAAGCAGCAGGGCCCTCAAAAAATGCTTTTTTGGGGGGCGGGAATACCCTGGTTTGACATTACAAACCCAAAGCTTGGAGGTTTGAGTCCACCCAGAGGGGCCCCAGAAAAATCGGCTTCCAAAACCACCCAGCCACTGAAACCCCTATGCAGAGCGATCTTACCCTGACACACACGGGCTGGCACAAGTCGGCATCCTGAGAAATAGCCGACGGTACACGTCTGTTTGGCACGAGGGAGGCTTTGAACTGTGCTGTAAGGCTTTCGGGTGAAGTTCCTACTCCGGTTTTATCAGACCTACTGCTTTAAATTTTGCTCCTTTGTAGCTCTTTAGGCTTACAATTATGAAGATAACCTTCTAAGCTGCAATTTGAGTCGCTTTTAGGGCTGATGTTATTATTATATCTTTAAAACTCTCATTTCAGGCTCTCAATAAAGCATAAGTGATAGGTGTACAAATTCTGAGGAAGGGGCAGTGGGTGTGTTCTTGTCCTCTAAGGACCTTCCAACATTTAATAGAAGATTTGATTTACTGTTCACGGAAAAGCCACCTTTGCCTTGACCTGATTTCTGGAAATTTCTCGGTTATTGAAACTGCAGTTTTTCATTTTCTTGGCCTTGTCTGTGACATCCCATGCTGACACGGCCGAGTCTGCCTTCACAAATGGCTGAAGTGCTCTTGGCATTTTCCTGGGGTGTTTGCGGGTCCTGTGCTCAGATGCAGAGAGAGAAACTCTACACAAAGCCAAGGAAGAGAGGAGCCCTGCTAAGCAGTGACTCTCGGACTGCCCATTGGGGGCCAGGTCATTGGAGTTAAACGACCACGACTGTGCAGGATCAGGTGGCCTCTCTCAGATTCAGGCTGAGGGGAGTCTAGGCGGCAGACGGGATTTCCAGACGTGGCTACACACATGTACGTTGGAGACCCGGGGGAGGGTGGATGGGCGCTAGCTTTCTCAAGCTGTGGCCTTGAGAATGAGGAGTGGGGATTGTTCCCATGATGGCAGTGCAGCGTAGGAGTTTTGTCATCAGAACAGCTTGTATTTGGAATCACTTGATTACTTGCTGTTGAATTGATTCAGACAGACAGAGACCCTTAAAGGACAGAGTAGAACTGTCCTTGTGAGTTTCCAAGACTATTTTCCCCAACACTTAAAAAAAATCATTTTATTGGGGCTCTTACAGCTCTTTTTTTTTTTAACAAGTGAACATTTTATTAATATTTTATTTGCATTTTGATAAAGATACAGTTTCACAAGAAACACTCATTTTCTCAAACAATTAAAAAAGGTTTTCAAAACCTCAGTCACCTCGGAAGGAGAAAACAAGCCTCCTCAGGGCGGATTGGGCAGTTTCAGACCAGAGGCACCGCTGAAGCAGAAGTTAGGTGGGGAAGCAAGTTCAGGTTCACCCAGCTTTAGGAGCAGCACACATGTCTTTCTGGAAGGCTCCAGGGGAGCCAGCTCAGCTTAACACAGGCAAGGAGGCTGCAGACAGTGTCTGTCTGACCACAGAGGCTCACTCCCCAAGAGGCTGCATCTGCTTCCAGCACTCATCAAAGGGCTGCTGCTCCAGCTCCCCGGTGGCTCTGTGGAGCCCAGAGTCCTCGGCTCTTTGTCTTTGTCTCAGTTCGGGCTGGGCCGAGTTTTGCTTGGCCTTCTCCACCCTGCCGATGGCTTCTTTCAAGTTGGACTTCTCTTTCTGGGCCAGTGGATCCATGGCTGGGCTTCTCAACACTTCTAAAGTCCGCTCTGATTGGACTTCGGGACCGTGAGGTCTCTGCGGCGTCCCTGACACTTCCCCATGCCGATCTTCCATCCGGAGCTCAGAATTCTAGGCCTTTTCCCTACCTGGAGATCCCGCGGTTGGAGCCGGCCTATCCCGGGACTTGGCGAGACCAGGGGCAGGGCCGCTCATACAACTCTTATCACAATCCACCCATCCGTTGTATCAAGCATATTTGTACATTGTTGCTGTCATCCTTTTCAAAACATCTCTTTCTACTTGAGCCTTTGGTATCAGTTCCTCATCCCCCCCCCCACCTCCCACCCTCATGAACTCTTGATACATCATTATTATTTTCATAAATGACACCACCCACTTTCGCCCTTCACCCCTGTTTCTGTTCTTCACTACCCTGGCTGGGGAGGGTTATACATCAGTCATTTCGATTAGTTCCCCCTTTCTCCAATTACCGTTCCTGAGCGGTTTATCAGTGCTGGATTCCGTGTGTCGAGACCTCTTATCTGTACCTGTGTACATGCTCTGGTCTAGCTGGATTTGTAAGGTAGAATTGGGGTCATGATGGAGGGGTGGAGGGGAGCATTAAAGAACTAGAGGAAAGTTGTGTGTTTCCTCTGTGGACTATTTACAGGAGTGGAAAACCCTGTCTTTCTCTAGACAGCAGCTGGTGGGTTTGAACTGATGACCTTTCAATCAGCAGCTCAGTACTTCCCCTCTGCACCACCAAGTATCCTTGTTTGGAATACCCTATTTATTAAGTTTAACAGATAACCGACCACTCAGGAGCCCTGGAGGTGTGGTGGGTTAGACATTGGGCATTAACTGCAAGGTCAGTAGTTGAAGCCCCCCAGCTGCTCTGCAGAACAATCAGGCTCCCTGCTGCAGCACAGATAAGGCCATGTTGAGTTGGAATTGATTGGATGCCAGAGGTTTTTGGCTTACTGATCCCAAGCACCATTCAAGGCTTTCAATGTTGTTTGCAGAATGAAGTAGGCACTGTTTCTAGCCTCACAGAGTTCCTTTATTTTGGAGGGAGGACTCAAATATATCAAACGTCTGTGTAAGATAGAAGGAGCCCTGGTGGCATAGTGGTTATGCGTTGGGCGGCAATCCTCAAGGACTGCAGTTCAACACCGGCCCCCATTCTACCGGAGAACAAGAGGCACCTCGGAGATGGCGACAGACACTTTCCTGATGCTCTAAGCCTCAGAGGTCAGACTGCTGCCCTTTGTAAGGACACGGTTTGTTGATGGCTGTGATTTTACACACATGGAGCCACCTGTGAAAAACAACCCTAAGATAAAAGAAGCGAAGCCTCAGAAAGGCACCCACCTTCTTTCTAATTATCAGTGTATTCTCTGAGACGGCAGAGAAAACCCCCAAACCAAACTCACTGCCCTCAAGTCAGTGCCGACTCATAGCAGCAGCAGCAACCCAGGACAGGGTGACACTGCGCCCGGGAGTCCTGAGCTCGTTGCTCCACACAAAGAGAACGCCCTTCTCCCTTCAGACGTGCCAGGAAAGCAGGCCATTCTCAGTGGCCGCAGCCTCGTTCTAGTAGCCGACCCGGGGAGAGAACTTGAACGAGACATTCTGAAAACCAGGAAGACCTTCGAGCCCCTTCAACGGGACTGCTTCTCCTTCTTCCTCCTCTTCAAGTATTGGGAAAGGAGAAAAGGGTGTCAAAGGAGATCCATCTTCATTGCCAAGGTTTTCCCAGGTGCTTTCATTGTCTTGGGCCTCCACGTCCTAGTCTTCCAAATCTCGGTGTTTTAGATGAAATGTCCTTTAGTAGCCCATCGCTTGTCAGGCTGGCGGCCAACACCAGCAGAGATGTAACATTGTTGAGTTGGGAAGAGGGTGGTCTGTGCAGCTAGATGGCCTTTGTGCCATGACTCCTTTTCCATGGACTTGAGAAGCTTCTTCTCTGCTGCCTTTGAACTCCCTGTGAGTCACCACAAAGTGCTGGTGGGGAGCCAGGGTGGCCTTCTTCTGTCCAAACAGCCTTCTGTGGTGATGGGTGGGATTGGGCCTCTGAAAGACTCCCCCAGTGTGGTTGTATAGGATTTCTCATCAGCTCAAATTACTCTTCGAAGGAATCTGACCAAATTGGTTCTTAGAAGTGAGGATGGGGAAATGTTGGCTCGTTTGCTTTGCACACCTCAAGAAGAGGACATCATATTTGGTAAAGAAGAGAGCTGGTGAGAACAAAGGAAGCCTTCAATGAGATGGACATCTGTGAAGAGGGCCCAGGAGCCTGCGATGCTTTGCTCTGTTGGCCCGCTTGATGCTAACTAAGAACAAGAGAAGCACACTGGCTATGGCACATGGATTGATAGATGCATCCGCTCCAAATAAAGTGAAGCATCCAGACCCAACTATCAGCAAAGGGCACCGGGCTAGAGTTGTCCTATCAAATTTGGGTGTCCTGGTGTGGTAAATTCCCTCAAACAAAGCAGAACATCAACCCTTGCTAGCAACAATATCACAGGAACCCTTATTGTGGAAAGGGTAGCCATCTGCCAAGGTAGAGTCAGAAGTATGATGAGCTCCTTGGGCCCCATCACCCAGCGTCAAGAACTGACCATTTCGTGGCCAGTCTTGTTTCATTTGTCACTCCCTAATTTCCCCTACCGGTTGGAGTATTTTGAGTTGAATTCTAGACATTTTCGTGGCCAGTCTTGTTTCATTTGTCACTCCCTAATTTCCCCTACCGGTTGGAGTATTTTGAGTTGAATTCTAGACATCATGTTATTTTATCTGTCAATATCTATTTTAAAGGAGCACTGCAGAACGCTGCCCAAGGTGAGTGGTAAGACACAGAGAAGACAGAAAACAAAGCACTGTGTGTGCCACGAGTCTGAAGGGTAAAGAGAGTCGGCAACCTCCGCTCAACGTCATTTAATCATGTGTCTCAGACTGTTACAGCAGCAACCAAAAAACCAATTTTTTGTTTGGGGGGATGGTGGTGGTGGGGCAACATTTGTACTAGCTAGTGGCCAAAGGTCATGGCCTGCTTCTGAAAGAGCAGCCATTGAAGTCCTTGTGGAGCACAATCCTCTGGTGCACGTGAGTTGGGACTGACCCCATGGCAACGGGGCTTTTCTTTTGCTTTGTTGGCAGTGCGTTCTGAGGAGCCCTGGGTGCCTTAGCATCAGCGTTGGACTGATAAGTGGTTCAGACCCCACAGCTGTTCCCCTGGACAAAGATGAAGCTGTCTGCTCCTGTAAAGACTGCCAGTCTTAGGGTCACTCTGAGTCAGAATC